CGGTGGAGGTAACGAAGCTCTTGCTTCTCTGACCGTGTTGTTGAGTTACAAACAAGCTGAGGTTTATAAGCAAAATAATAATAATAATAATAATAATAATAATAATAATGATGAAAAGACTGGTGTTTAAGATGACTAGGCCAATTGTTTGATACAACAAGCCTATGCCTCTGTCATAGATGCCACTGAGAAAGCAAGGGTAAAGAGAAAATAAAACCACTGCATGTCTACCAGCCACTGAGTTTAGACTATTTGCTAAGTGCTTATATTTCTGTCCCCAGCACAGAGTAACCAGTGTTTAACAGTTATTTGATCAATATTCAATTAATAAATCTTGGTTATTTGGAATTATATTTTTGGTTGCTATGTATAAATCAAAATTTTATATCTGTTACACTAAAACTTAACCATTATAAAGCAACTTGCATGCTTTAACATTTAGTTTAATCAAAGAAACTCTTATATAGTCTACTATATAAAGCTGGTGTGTGTGTGTCTAGAGATGTAACCCAGGGCCTTATACATACCAACCAAGCACTCTACTGTTGAGCAGTAATCCAGACACTTACAGGTTCTCACTGAGTTAGACTTAGGCTAGCCCAGAACTTACTCTCTGTCCACTTTAAAAATATATATTATTTTTAATTAGATTTGAATGTGTGTCTTAGTGTGGGGGTATGTGCATATGAGTGGAGATGTCTATGGAGGTCAGAAAAGGTCATTGGCTCTCCTGCATCTGGTGTTACAGGAGGTTGTGAGCCACTGGACTTGGAAGCTACAAACTGCATTGGGTTCTCTAAAAGATCGGCCCTTAATCTTATTCACTGAGCCATCTCTCCAGGCCCTATACATTTTTATCTATATTCTAAACCTTAATTCCATACCTCCTTGTCCCAACCCATGGATGGTGTGATAGTTTGAATGTCAATGGCCCCCATAATCTCATAGGGAATGGTACTACTGGGAGGTGTGGCTTCGTTAGAGTAGGTGTGGCCTTGGTGGAGGAAGTGTGTCACCATAGGGGCAGGTTTTAAAGTCTCCTATGTTCAAGATACCTAGTATCTCAGATCACTTCCTGTTGCCTGCAAGTCAAGATGTAAGACACTTGGCTACTTCTCCAGCACCATGTCTGCCTATGCACCACCATGTCGTACCATGATAATGAACTAAACTTATGAAAACGTACCATCCCCCCAAAAATGTTTTTCCTTTATAAGAGTTGCTGTGGTCATGGTGTCTCTTCCCAGCAATAGAAACCCTAAGACAGATGGTATCCCTGATTTTGCCTCTTTCCCTAGCACCAATCTTAGTATCCTTCAAGACACAGTTCCCCAAATTGCAGCAAAAATAAGACATACCTAACTCACCACAACTTTTCTTTCAAAGCTTCCCTGGTTGTTTTTTTTTTTTTTTATCTACATAGACAATAAAGCCTCTAAATTAGTACTGCCTCCATTTATGGGAAGATTTCAAACATACTAGATGTCTTAATTCAAATTCCAAATTTTCAAGACATGTAACTCAGTGTTGTTGATTGTTTTTTCTCTTCTGGAGGGGCCCACCACCCAGCTCCCAAATAAATTCAGTCACAGAGGCTTATTATTGCTTATGAATGTCCGGCCTTAGCTTGGCTTCTTTCTTGCCAGCTTTCCTTAACTCAAATTATCCTGTCTACCTTTTGCCTCTTGGCTTTTCCCATTCTCTTACTTCTGTAAATCTTACTCTTACTCTATGTCTGGTTGTGTAGCAAGGTGGCTGGCCCCTGGAGTCATCCTCCTCCTCCTCTGGCTGCTAGATCTCTCTGTTTTCTCCTTCTATATATACTGTCTGCCTGCCAGCCCCATCTATCCTTTCTCCTGCCTTGCTATTGGCCAGTTCTTTATTAGAACATCAGGTGTTTTAGACAGGCACAGTAACACAGCTTCATGGAGTTAAACAAATGCAGCAGAAACAAAAGTAACACACCTTAAAATAATATTCTACTACAGCTCAGTTTAGAGCAGAGATTTGTACCTGGTCTAGCTGCCTATGGATAGGCATAGACTTGAGAAACATAAATACAGTGACCTTGGGGACCTTCTTACATTCTCAAGAAAAGAGACATGGTGAGGGGCACTGAGTGGTACCTCCTACATTATATCCTGGTCATTCTTCCCTTCTTTCCCTTCCCATTGCTACCCCCTCATGGCCTGCAAGACAGGTGGATATCCCTTTTCCTTTTTTTTCCAATCCCACCTCAGACTTCTTTCATTCACTATCACCTCCTGGAGGTTACATTCTTGCTTCTGTGTGTGCCCTGGTCACTTCCTACTTTATTACTTTTGACCACTTACCTTACACACTGAACTCAACTTTCACGCATGGTTGTGACTTAGTTTATATTTCTAGGCCTTGCAAATTACTTTGACTGTCTCAGAAGAAGGGCAGTTTAGCAGTGTGGTCCCACAAACAGGGAGGCAGGCACTAGCCTGCATGCTGCTTCTACATGGCACAATCAAACACTCCTTTTCTCAAAATTCAGTTCTTTAGCTGACAGTCACAGCCTCTCAGAGTCAGACTCCAGAGCACTCTGAATCTTCCCTCGCTGCTTCTCTCATGGATCAGATGCCATGAAGGCCCAACCCATCTGCAGTCCCCAAGTGCTCTACACAGAATGTCACTGTGAGCCTACCTGCCCCATCCACAGTCCGAGTGGTCTGCACAGAATGGCACTGTGAGCCTGTTTACAATGGCTCAACATGCATATGTTGTTGGTAATACTGAATGCATGATAATGCTTGGTTTGGTTAATTTGATTTATGTAAGCCTGAACAATTTCCACTGTGGGGTTGTATGGGATATGTGAGAAATCACACCAAACCTGTTCTGACCCCATTCATGACCTGGTTTAAAATTTAAACCAAAATACCAGCAAGAGAGTATTTTTTGTTTGTTTCCTTTCCTAAAAGTAGAGTCCAGACTAGGAAGGAAAAACATCCTAATTATTTCGTATGAACTGATGGTTTGAATCTAAGAAAAACAAAATTTTCTGTATCCCAAAATCCAGCCTTCTTTCCTAGGTGCCAGTAACTTGGGCTGAATTGTGGGACCAACTGCAATGTTTTGCCTCTAGGAGCTTTTGTCCTCTGGACAATGCTGGTGCTGAGATAAAACATGTTTTTTGTGCTGTAGGAGCTCTTTTCTGTCATAGATACAAAGTACTTTGGACCTTTGTTCTTCTATATCTGCCTTTTGAGAGGTCATAATGAATTATAAACATTAAAAAAATCACCAAAGCATAAAGGTTTTTGCCAGTTTGTGAGTACACTATTGTCAAAGAAATACTATTTTTTTTTTTGGTGTGTGTATGCACATTTTCATGTGCACGAGTGCCCGTGGCACCAGAAGCCAACATTGTAAGTGTTCTTTACTCGCTCTCACTTGTTTTTTGAGGGGCCCTCACTGAACCTGGAGCTCCCCGTTCTGCTGGATGGGCTGGCCAGGGAGCCTTTAGGATCCTCCTGTCCGTACCTCTCTGGTGATGGGTCCCAGCCTCATCTGGAAATCAGAACTTGGGTCCTCATACTGTGCAACATGCAAATAACTGAATGAGCCATTTTTCTGCCCCAAGAAATGCCACTATTTTTTAAAGATTTATTTTTATCTCTATGTGTGTGTGTGTGTGTGTGTGTGTGTGTGTGTGTGTGTGTGTGCGCGCGCGCACGTGCCTGAGCACTGATACCCACCAAGGCCAAAGAAGGGCATCCGATCCCCAGGAGCTTGAGTTACAGATGGCTGTGAGCCAACACGGATCATCTGGAAGAGCAATGTACATTCTTAACCACTGAGCCATCTCTCTAGCCCCAAGAAATGTTAACCAAACTTTAGTGTTGTTAATAAATATTCATTAAATGAGTAAATTATAAAGTAGAAGGTAAGAGAATTACATATTTATGGTCAATGTCAGCTATATTAGTGCAGTAGGAGTCTGATAAATTAATTTTTTTAAGTAATTAATGAAAATAAAATATTTGATAGTGTTAATTAAATTTATTCTATTATTTATTCTATTATATTTTTCTCTTCACTAAAAATCAAAATTATATTCCAAAAATTTTGATTTTAATAATTTTCACCATTCATATTATCATATAATTTTTAAAGCTTATTTACTTCTAGATTCTAAAATCTCTAGTCATAGAATATTGATCATTAATTATATTTAATTCTATAATCATCATGCATACAAAGTGGGACTCGGTAACATGTAGTACCAACCAAATTTCTAAAATAGATACAGCATCAACTTTCAGGAAATGCTAGCTCAGGTCTTGGAGTGGTGGTAGCTGTCTTTTAAACTTCTAAACCTCAATTTTCACCTTTTCAGAAATCAGAGTCAAACTCTATAAAGATCCTTCAAATTTTATATTTGAGGTTCATTGATGCTATCTATGATTTCATTAAAACAACAACAAATGAAACAAAAAGGAAAGTGTATATTAGCAAGACTGGGCACATTCATGGTGGTATGGCCGCAGATCAAGAAAGCATCAGAAACAGCTGTGACAGCTGGAGAGCTGGCGCAGCAGGTATGGGAGCTTGCCAGCAAGCCTGATAGCTTGATTTCTTTTCTAAAATTCTATTTTATTTTTATTTATGTGTATGGGGGAGCCTGCAGTGGCCAGAAAGAGATCACTGGGTTCTCTGGAGCTGTAGTTACAGGCGGTTGTGAGATGCTTGGCAGTGGGTGCTGGGAACTGAGCTCAGGTCTTCTGGAAGAGCAGCAGAGGTTTCACTGATGAGCCATCTCTCCAGCCCCATGACACCTTATTCCTATCCACAGATTCACACAGGGGAAAGAGAACACCAACTCCCACAAGTTGTCCTCTGATCCCATATGCCATCTCAAACACGCCACCCGGACACAATAAATAAATAAAAATTTTAGCTGTTCTCTTTTCTTTTTTTCTTTTCTTTCTTTTTTTCTTTTTTTTTTTTTTTCTGAGACAGGGTTTCTCTGTGTAGTTTTGGTGCCTGTCCTGCATCTCACTCTGTACCAGGCTGGCCTTGAACTCACGGAGATCCGCCTGGCTCTGCCTCCCGAGTGCTGGGATTAAAGACGTGCACTACCACTGCCCAGCTTTTTAGCTGTTCTTAATTATGGTAAATTTCATAAATAAGTTCCAGACCAGCCAGAGCTACATAGTGAGAACTGTCGAGAGAGAGAGAGAGAGAGAGAATCTACGTGACATCTACAGTTATTATAGTCTGTGTTGAGTGTATGGGTGTTGGGATTACTGTCTAAAGAGACATTCTCCTCTCTACTCTGAGGAAGAAATACTTACTAACCTGTTGTTCTTCATTTTCTCTTTACCCGGTCCTCACTGAATAGCACCTCTGGAAATTTTCAAGTTAATTTATTCCCAGAGGAAATGCTATGGAGTAGAATGCTTCAATGTCCCTGCTTGCCAGTTCAAGCCCAGAAAGCCGGATCTGGATAGCAGTGGTGTGGAGCGTGTGCCAAGTGCGGCAAATGGTCCCTTAAGTTTATTGGCGTTCCATGCTGCACACGGAGGTTGTCAAATGTCATCTTAAGTTTGTGTTCAATATTACCCTGTTTTAAACTTTGACCTTAATTTATTCAGGAGAATCAGGATGCAGTCACTCACTTTAAAGCGATGGTCTCTGAGGTCCTCTGCTGTCACTGTTCCAAATTGCTTGCCTTGGACATCAAATAGTTCCAGAAAACAGTCTAGTATCTCTAGACTTAACTTTTAAAGTGATTAATGATCCACTGTTTTAAAGAGCAAATTCTACTTTACACATTAGAGTTCCTACAGCTAAATTACAAAGTAAGTTCGTACAGGGTATTTTTATGGGATGGTGGGGATTCATTTGGTAAAATGCCTGTGGCTCAAGCTTCCCAACCTAAGTGTGATCTCTCAGGGCTGGGGAAGAAGCAGGAGGGTCTCTAGGGTTAGTCAGCAGGCCAGTCTAGCCAGCTGGTGAGTTCTGGGTTCAGTTCGAGACCTTGTCTCAAAAGATAGGGTGGAGAGTGATTCAGAAGACACCAGCTTCCCAAGCACACTCATGCATGTTTACTTAAATGACACCTACATACACAACCACCACACACACCTCACACAACACAAACACAAACACACACACACACACACACACACACACACACACACACACACACACTATAAATAAATAATATGATTGGATAATAATATATAAAGGGTATTTTGAGTCAGTCATGGTGATGTATACCTGTAAGCCCAGCACCAAGGAGGCAGACAGGAAGGGTTGTGAGTTCAGGGGCAGCCTGATCTACATAGTGTGCTCAAGGCCACCCTAGACTACATGCCAAGACCCTCCCACACCAACTTCCACCCATCAAAAGGGTATTGTGCAGTACTCTGATTTAGTCCCCCAACACACACACTCTTCAGTAACAAACATTGGACTGTCTCTCTGACATGCACTGGGGCAGGTTCGCATGTGCTTCTTTCTTCTAGGCAAGCCTTGGTCTCCTCAGCTTACTCAGCGCTCACCCTCATTAGCACATCACTGCTGCTGATGCTCCTTCTTGCAAGGTCACCAATGGCAACATCTCTTTCTGTTGTTGCTCTTTTGTTGCTAATCCTGTTAAGTTCCTGGTCTTCCGGTCTGTGTGTAGCAAATAACTGAAGTGGCCTCCATTGTAGAGGGCAGATGCATCATGGTGCGGCGGGGCAGCACTGTCTGGTCTATAACAGTGGCTGGTGTGCTAAACCCAGGACACTCTATTCGTGGCAGTACCTGGGTATTGCTGTGTACTCAGAACTTATGTCCATTCGAAACAACTATACACTTTTGGAAATAGTCTCAGACCTTTGTTTCCATGAAAGCAGATTTGTTGGCTACTCTGTCTTAGTCTCTTACGTCTGCTTCTCATTTTCTGCCCAAAAGTTAAACATCGGGGGCTCGGAATCATGCCTTCTACTCTTTGTTTTCTGTGTATTCCCGAGGAAAACATGATGGCCTCCTCTATCAACCCCTATGACTTCAGCCATGTATATGCTGACAACTCCCAAATTTTTGTCTTTGGCACAGCTCCCAATTCTGAGTAACAGGTCTGCATAGAGAACTGCCTCCACTACAGTTCAATTTGGAAATATCAAAGGCACCCCTATATCACTCTGTGTCCAAAATTGGACCCACAGTCTTATCGCTACATAAATAAAATGGCTCTGTTATGCATCCAAATATTTGAGTCATCACGTAACTGGGAGAGGACATCTTTAATTCCTGCCTCTACCTCAATCTCCTGGACCCAATTATTGAGTCAACTTCTTAGGTATGATTTATTATTATATTTATTATTATTGTCATCATCCAAGAGAGAGAGAGAGTACCGTTGGACACAGATGCAAGAGCCTTGTCCCTGGAATGTATAGATCTCTCTTGCAGATGATCCATCGCCAAATACTGAACTGAAGAAAGATCATCACTTCTGGAGCGGACCTACCGTAGAGGGCGGTTTGTTACCAGCTTCCCCAGCAGTAATATCAGCTGAAGGTTACGAGCAGTTCCTGGAATTAACTCTACCTCCCCCTCCATGGATGTTATAACACACAGGCTTTCCTTACTCTAATCTTTGCTGAATATGATGTTCCATCAAGCATTCCAGTCTTCGGGAAAGCCACTAATATATAGATATACTGGCTTTTTCTATCAGTCTTTGAGAGCTGATTAATGTATACCAGTAATGACAAATAGATCTGCTATGTTGATAAAATCCAGTTTCTAAAAATCTAAATCTGTAGGCTGAGAACCAGAGCATGGGCTGTGATAAATCCACCAAGATAATTTATCTTGTGGAGTCTCTTGGAAGGCAGCCAATTGATCTTGCCTGGAGTTATCCATGTGCTTTCCATTTGAAATATTTCTGAGGAAAAAAAATGTGTTGACTTAAATAAAAGACATGCAGAGGCTTACTGCAGTTGATCGAGATTATTAACAAAGATATGTGGGACTCTGGAGTAGCAGAGGGAATTGCTTCTGAGGCCATTCAGAGAACCTGGCTTCGGTGCTCTTCGTGTACTAGGAGATGTAGTGGCTGCTTGAAGAATCAAGAATGTTGTATTTTCCATGATACGCCAACGGCAAATAAGCCATTCTTCTAACGTGCTATCCTTCCCTAAAAGAAGACTGGCCATGATGGGGTCAGGTCATGGCAAATAACCCCCGAGGCGGCTTAGCCGAAGGCACCTGGTCCAGCCAGCTATGACTGTGACACTGGGTTGGGCTCACAGAATTCCTCCTCTAAAATGGCTGCAGGGTGCACAGAGAGAAAAAGAAGGCTGGCGTTTCAATGCTTCAGGGCCTCTTCCTGCAGCTCACTCAGCAGAGGCCGCATAAGAAGAAAGTACGGAGAGGATTTCCAGGAAGAAGGATCCAACTCTGCACACAAGGGGAGAACAGACCAAAAAGTTAGGTCATGAAGACAAAAGCAGGCTTGATGAGCCGAGCCTAGAGAGAGCATGAAGTACAGATCAGGCCACAGTTGGGAAAACAGTTTCAAGGAGGAATTAGAAAACCAACTCACGGGGTTGGGGATTTAGCTCAGTGGTAGAGCGCTTGCCTAGCAAGCGCAAGGCCCTGGGTTTGGTCCTCAGCCCTGGAAAAAAACAAAAAACCCAACTCACAGGAAGTGTCAGTGCTGGATTTTTGGAGGGCCTTGCAAACCGGAAGAAGGAGTTTAATTTGATATAATCAGAAAGAAGTTTTACATTGAAGACTAGTTAGAGCATGGAGACTAGAAATCAAGAAGACTTAATGAGTTTGCCACTGTCATAACCAGGGCCTGGGGATGTGAACGAAATTGGTTGCTGTATGAAAGAGACATTCTGGCCAGGGATGTAGCTCAGTGGTAAGTTCTTGTCTGGCACACGTGAGGCTCTGGGCTCCACACCTAGTACAACTGAAATAAAGAATTAAGCAAAAGTATTAAAGGGCATTATCAGCCGGGCGGTGGTGGCGCACGCCTTTAATCCCAGCACTCGGGAGGCAGAGGCAGGCAGATCTCTGTGAGTTCGAGGCCAGCCTGGGCTACCAAGTGAGTTCCAGGAAAGGCGCAAAGCTACACAGAGAAACCCTGTCTCGAAAAACAAAAAAATAAAAAAATAAAAAAATAAAGGGCATTATTTTGTTTAGTTTTAACTGTCAACTTGACACAACCTAGAGTCACCTAGGAAGAGTCTGAATGAGGTTGTGTCCGGTTGGCCTGTGGGTGCCTATCTGTGGGGGACAGTCTTCATTGTTCACTTACGTAGGAAGACTGAGCCCATGGTGAGCAACGCTGTTCCCTAGGCAAGGGGTCCTGAACCTATAAGAGCAGAGGAAGCTAGAAAGTAAGCAGGCAGTCAGCAGGGGCACATGTGCTTCTCTCTGCTCTTGTCTGTGGATATCATGTGACTAACTCGCTTGAGTTTCTACCTTAACCTCTCTATCAATGAAAGACTGTAACCATACGCCACAGCAACCGAACTGACACCAGGACCTTCTGAAAGGAAAACTGCCTAGTGGAAATTAGCTGACTCCGTGGGTATAATCAGCTCCACGCAGAGTAGACACTATGCCCAGCAAAGTCCCTCCACTGGGTTCATAAAGTACTCACAAATACTCTTGTTGGGTATTTCAACACACAAACCCTGACTCAACTTTATGGAATATTTTTACTATTTCCTATCTCTTCTTCCAATTCTTCTTCCAAAAGAACTGTCCATGGGCTTCTACAAATGATTTCTGTCCACAGAGCAAAGGATTTATTAGGGATCCCATCCCTCTCTTTTTATCTTTTCTATTTAATCAGCCACCACCCACTGCAGATCCCACACTGACCTCACACCTGCCTTCTCCCCCAGAAAGGCCTCTTCTCTCACTGCTGTATTGGGGTTCCTACCACAAGCTTGTAGCAGGTAACCATCTTCTAATCTCTCTCCCACCTATCCTGTACAAGGCACTGTCATCTTTGCAAAGCATAAGTCTGAGATGTCAATCCCCACATTCAAATGTCCAGTGATGCCCTGCTGGTGTGTTTAGGAAGTGCACTGTCTTTATCTCCACATACAAGTCATTATTTGACTTGGATGTTGCAAGCAGATGTATTCTATCTGGCTCCATGATTCTTTAATAATTGGGGAAGTTCTCGCACCTGCAGTTTTAGCCTTCCCTTGGAAAACGACAAAAAGAGTCTGGCAGTTTTGGAGCCAATGGCAGCATCGGGCTGGAATGAGGAGCAGCTGCCCGTTTGGACAGCAGACGTGTCCTCTGGTCTGCCAGTCTGCGCTCCGGTATAATTAGTTCAGACTGCTTTGGTTGCTGGCTTTATCTGGAAAGCCTCTATAAACAGTTCTGTTGTGGCCTGTGAATCCCCTTGTACAAGCTCCCAGTACTTCTTCCCACACACCCCAAACTGACTGACCTGCTTCTAGTTCAGCAAATGGTAACAGAGCTTCAGTGAGTGTCACTCTGTCTTCATTCCAGCCCTTCATGCCTTTGTCTCATCCCAACCTTCTTTGAAGAATTCAGTTCAAGATCTCCTTCTCTAAGGTTCTCTTAGTTTCTAAGTTGATTTTTTAAACACCACACACACACAAAGACACGCACACACCCTTTTATATTCTGACCTTTTTTGGTCCAGCCCACTCTGAGCCTGCCCTTTCACAGGTCCTACCATACTATGCTATAATTAATGACTAGTATGTCTTCCGTACTAGACTGTATTTTTTGGATAGATTTATGTTTTTGTTACTTAACATAGTATCTAGCATATAATAAAGACAGACTAAACATGTGTTAAGAGAATGTTGGAGAAGTTAATTTAGAAATAGGAATGAGTAGACAGTATAAAGAGTGTAAAGAAAGATGGAAAGAGGAGCTGGGAAAGAAAAGAGGACAGTCATAGTGAGCCATGATGACACATACTGCAATCCCAACACATCCCAGTGCACGGGAGGTGGAGGCAAGATCAGGAGCCTCACCTACATAGGGAGTTCAAGGATGATTTGGGCTTCATGAAACCATACAAAATAAATAAATAAACAAACAAGCAAACAAATAATAAATAAACCAGAAAACCAAACCAAAAGAGAATCTGGCATATATGTGGTCTTGGAAGCAGAGGAAATTGAGTTTCAAGTTCCAGAGGAGGAAGACTCAGCTACTCAATGCCGGAGGAACCAGAACCTGCTTCCAGAACGCTCTGATAAGCATGAAGTCTTACCCTTTCTTTGCCTTCATGAACTTTCTCTTAAATTCTCAAACAAAAGACCAGGCTTCTTCTCCCATCTCATGGACTGAGGTGAGTATAGTTGGGGCCCTCAAGGTCCACTGTGGTTGAAGACGTGGTTCTGGGGGTGGCACCACTGAAAGGTGGTAGCCCTTTTAAGAGTTCAGACCATGGAATGGGGAGTGAGGTATCTCTCATGCGACTCCTTTGATTCTTCTTGGAAAGGGTTGTGATAAGAGGAGTAAGCCTGGACCCATCTACTCTCTAACCTAATTGCTATTAAGAATATAATGACTCGTTCTATAAAAGAACATTTAAAAGATAAAAAGAATCGTATTTCCTAACAATACAGCTGAAAATAGCATTCTCTAGACAAAAGTAAAGATTTTTAATAAGGTCAGGCAATGGAATCTTCCAAAATTTGTGCTGAAACGTAATCTCAAACGTAACAACATTAAGAGTCGGTGCCTTTAGAAGACTAAATCCTGAGGGATCCTCCCTCAGGGATGAGACTGAGATCCTTATCATCTCTGCCTCCTCATTCCTCCACCATGTGAGGATACAGCATTCATCTTCTCTCCCAAAACACACAGAGTCAGGGAGCTGGACTCTCAGACCCAGGGCCTGCAGTGTACGCGCACACACATATACAAACCCAAGACTGGCACATGGGAATTCGATCATTTGCTAGGAACCGTGTTAGTGAAAGACCACATCAGTGGTGGAAAAGGCAATTTTTATCAAGGAAGGGTCTGTTTCACTTTACCACAGACAGTGAGAATTCCAAACTGAAAGACTGAAACACTCAGCAGGAGACAACTGAAGAAATTTTAAACCACTGCAAAAACCAATGTGCGTGACGGCTGGCGGTGGCGGCGACCACCTTGAAAACCACACTCAGGAGGCAGAGGGCAGAGGCAGGCAGGTCTTTGGGAGTTTGAGACCAGTTTCTTCTATGCAGCAAGTTCTAGGTCAGCCAGGGCTACATCATGAGACCCTGTCTCAAAAATAAATAAATAATGATGATGCAAAAGAGAGGGGACTCAATGGCATACTTTTATTTGTTTATACTGAAAATATTATTTATATAGCTGACTTATATAAATATTTTTCATTTACTTCACTACATGTGGGGGAAAAATTCTTGGAAATTAAGACTTTTTTCAACAATGGCATTTTTCTCATTTGCTCTCCATCTTATTTTCTGAGATGCCACCACCTCCGAATCTGGCACTGGCTGGGCTGGCTGGCCAGTGAGCTCCTGGGATCTGTCTGTCTCTGCTCCCAGTGCTGGGGCACAGACACACGTCAGCACCGCTTTATGCGGGTGCTGGAGGTCTGGACTCGGGTCCTGATGTCTGCAGGACTGGCATTTCACTGACTGAGTCTTCTCTCAAGCTTTGAACAGGGTTGTATGACCTAGAAACAGAGAGACTGGCGGTCTCATCCATGCTGGTTTGAGATGGCACTAACCAGGTGGCTCACAGAAAAAGGAAAAAGCTAGTGTTGTCCTGGTAAACAGGGTGAAGGCTCCCTCTGGTCCAGCCAGACACAGGTCTCATCGTAGCTTCCACGGGTGTTTCCTAGTTTGAGTGCTGGACCACCCCATGGCCCTAAGTCAGTACTGACTTCTTCTAATGCAAAGACCGGCCCTTTCTTGTTTTCGAGGGATGGCTTCACTGGCAACATTCTACCCTGCCCATGTTCAGCATTAACAAGTCAAACAGCGGCCAAACTGTCAACTGCAGAAAAGATTGAAGAGATTGTCTGTCATATAGACAGAAAACACCTGTGAAGAATTAATACGTTGTTTTTCTTTGGTACTTCCCCCTCCCGGTTAGTACTTCCCTTCTTTCATGACCTTTGAACTCCAAACTCTAGTCCCTGGGGGGACCTGAACAGACCTGCAGCAACTGGAAACAGAGAGAGGCAAACAAAGAAATAAATAAACACAGGAATCTGGCTTTAGGCCTGGAAACTCAGGGAGGGAGAGCTAAGGGGGAGGTCATGAGAGTTAGGTGCTCATCCTTGAGAAAAGGGGGCCTGGACTTCCTTATCGCATTGGTCAGGTGGAACTGAGACTTAGTGAGGGGTCTGCAGACACTCTGACTGCATTTAGAGGGCCAAAGACTAACCAGAGTGTGCTACTCAACTGTGATCCCAGGAAGAGGCAGGAGGATGCGGAGCTGAATGAATTTTAAGTGAGCATGTCACAGATCACCTGACTATGCTGTAGAAAAACAGATTGCTGCATACCTCTGAGAAGAGGCCTTAACCAAATGGGCTTTGCAGTGAACCTGAAGGTCGTAGCAGGACCAGAGGGTGTTAGCCTGGCTAGACAATGCCAAGGAGCTAATCTACAACCCCAAAAGTATTCACTGGCAATCCTGGAACATAAGTACATGCATAGCAATGGTAAAAGGAAGTTAACGGAAATGACATTTTTGCCTCCTGTGAGGGCTAATCCCGGTTGTCATCTGGAATCAACTTAAACCCAGGCAGCTGGGCACATCTGTGAGCAACTTTTCTTGACTGGATCATTTGAGGTGGGAAGACCAACCCTAAATCCAGGCCACACCTGGTGGCAGCCCTCATAAAGGACATGAAAGAAGGAAGCTTTTCTTCTTTACCTGTTGATCCTCACCCTCACTGGCAGTTCATCTATCCTACTGCTGGGACATTCCTTCACCAATATTAGAACCTATTTCTTTGCAATTCCAACATCCTGAAGACCAGCCGTGATACCCAACCTTGTGGACTGAACAACTGTTGGATTCTTGGCTTTTCATCAGGAGACAGCCATTGTTGGACTACTGGGACCACAGCCCGTAAGCCACTCTAATAATCCCCTTTTCATGTATCTAGATTCATCCTGTCAGTTCTGTTCCTCTAGAGAACTCTGACTAATATCACCCAAGGAAAAGACTATAAACAACAATAACAATATCTGAATCTAGCAAGAGAAAAACGTTCAATATTGTGCACATCTATATTTGTGGATGAGATGTAAACTCAGGACACACAGAAAATTCAAGCAAGATGATAGCCATTGTACAACTTACTCAAAAAGAGGTATGGAAAAGACCACAAACCAGGACAGTTTTGAGTAGAGTCCCACAGTTACCCAGTGAATTGAAATAGCTCCCCTGAGCCTACTGCCTGCCTTCCTTCCTTCCTTCCTTCCTTCCTGCCTGCCTTCCTTCCTTCTTTCCTTCCTTGCCTTCTTCATAGGGTCTCACTGCATAACCCAAGCTGACCTCAAACTCCAGATTCCTCTGCCTCTGAGTCCTAAGCTAAGATTACAGGTGTGTGCCGCCACGCCCAATATGTTCTCTAACAATGAACAAAATCCAAGCCCTTTTTTTCTTTTAATATGTTCAATAGACCAGATAATTCTTTTAAAAGTTAGATTCCTTTATCTTATTTTTATGTTTATAAACGTTTGCCTGCATGTATGTGCACCATGTAAATACCTGGTGGCTGCGGAGGTCAGAAGAGGTGTTGCATCCCCTGGAACTGGAGTTACGGGTGGCTGTGAACTTCCATGTTATTGCTGGGAACTAAATCCAGGTCCTCTGCAATATCAACAAATGCGTTTAACTGCCAATCAATTTCTCCAGTCCCCCAGGTTTTTGTTTTACTTATTTTAAGACAAAGTCTCAGATTTAAACTCCAACTGTAGCCAGGAAGCTGATCCTTACTCTCCATTCCCTTTAAAGCCAACTTAATCAGCTCAGCCCCAGTCCTTTCAATTCCATTCCCTTGAAGCCCTCCCCTTCTTTCCAAAGTCACATCATTGCCTTATCCCAGATTCTCATCGGTTCTAATCTACAGACAATGTAAGAAAACATATTCGCTCTCATAATACAGCGGGCACTGCAATATTTGTAATATTTCATTAACTCTTGTCAAATTTCACTGGACCTATAAAGTCTGCAATATTTTTATCTTGATTGCACAGTTAAGAAAGCCAAGACAGGCCGGGCGATGGTGGCGCACGCCTTTAATCCCAGCACTCGGGAGGCAGAGGCAGGAGGATCTCTGTGAGTTCGAGGCCAGCCTGGTCTACAAAGTGAGTTCCAGGAAAGGCGCAAAACTACAGAGAAATCCTGTCTCGAAAAAAAACCAAAAAAAAAAAAAAAAAAAGCCAAGACAGGGGATGGAGAGATGGCTCAGAGGTTAAGAGCACTGACTGCTCTTCCAGAGGTCTTGAGTTCAATTCCCAGCACCCACATGGTGGCTCACAACCATCTGTAATGAGATCTGGCACCAGTCTTCTGGCGGGCAGGGGTACATGCAAACAGAACACTGTATACATAATAAATAAATACATCTTTTAAAAAAAAGTTAAATAAATTATTTTTTAAAAAAAAAGAAAGCCAAGACATAAACAGACTAAACGAGTTGTCTATTACCATGTGCCATAAAATAGTTAAGCCAGGAAACCTGGACCTGCCTATGTGCAGTGGCCAGGCAGTAACCTAGCTGTTTCCTGACTCTCCACATGGGGTATTGTGTCTCTTCCCTCCATATTATCACCTAAATAATGTTTCTAAACCACAAATCTGAACATGGGAAGACTTTCACAGTCTTTCAATGATTCCCTCTCACATTTGGTGCTGGTAAGATTTCACAGTCTGCTTTCGATTCCCATCTCATGGGCAGACTTCCCTCCTTGTTATGATCACATAGGATGGACCAGATCTGCACACACACACACACACACACACACACACACCCCGCCCTGCCCCCCCACCAATCTCTTTTCCCAATTGCCATTTCTCTCCTTATTTTTATTTTTTCTGTAGTGCTGAGGATAGAAATCAAGGCCATGCACACACTGGGGAAGCACCCCATGACCAGGCTCCCCACCGTTTTTCAGAGTGTGTTGAAGGTGGGTATGATAGCTTACTCCAGGACTGGCAAGACTCTTGAAAAAAAAAAAAAAGAGTACACACCCTCAGCACTGAACTAATTATGTAATGCCCATTCTGGTTTTAGAAGTACCCTTTTTTTTTTTTTTTTTTTTTTTTTTTTTTTTGGTTTTTCGATACAGGGTTTCTCTGTGTAGCTTTGCGCCTTTCCTGGGACTCACGTGGTAGCCCAGGCTGGCCTCGAACTCACAGAGATCCGCCTGGCTCTGCCTCCCGAGTGCTGGGATTAAAGGCGTGCGCCACCACCGCCCGGCCTAGAAGTACCCTTTTTAAGAAGTATCCTGTGCTAAAATATGTAACATTAAATTCTGATTAAAAATAATCTGATCAGTTTTTTAAAGTAGTTTTCCCTATGCTGTGAGCCTCCTAATATTGTGCTTTTTTGAAACAGAACATCAAAACCAAGTCTGTCAGCATATACTTTCAGACCCAGTTATCCCAGCAATATTGTACGACAACACAACATGATCATTCCAGTTTAAAGACAAGGAAAACTTCAGCTGACGCTCCACACGTAGAACGAAATAATGTTGTAACACAATGAATGTCTTGAGAATTAAAGATAAAACAATGCCAGCATGGTGGCACAGGCTGAGGCAGGAGAATTACCATGTGTTCATAGTGAGAACCTACCTAAAATAAATAAACAAATAAATAAAAAACCATCAACAACAAGCCATTAAGTCCCAAGCCTCTGGCCCTGGACATAGTAAGTCTAACCAGTGACCCTTACTGACCAGTGCTGAGTACCAGACATCTCTGCCGGCCTAGAGACACGCATGAAGCTTGAGTTTTCCTGCCTGGCCCACAGTCAGGGCAAATCTCTCTCACCTGCTAGTCCCACAGCCTCTCAGACCCGACCAAGTAAACACAGAGACTTATATTGGTTACAAACTGTATGGCCGTGGCAGGCTTCTTGCTAACTGTTCTTACAGCTTAAATTAATCCATTTCCATTCATCTATACCTTGCCACATGGCTCGTGGCTTACCAGCATCTTCACATGCTGTTTGTCATCGTGGCGGCTGGCAGTGTCTCTCTGACTCTACCTTCCACTTCCCAGCTTTATTCTCCTCCTTGTCCCGCCTACACTTCCTGCCTAGCCAATGGCCAATCAGTGTTTTATTTATTGACTAATCAGCAACACATTTGCCATACAGAACATCCCACAGCACATGCAGCTGCTCAACCGTACAGGAACGGATTTTCTTCTTTCCCTGCAACCACACCTTTCTTCCGTGTTCACTCTAAGCCTTGGAGCCACTCCTCGGTTCCCACGAGGCCCAGGCTTCTAACCTCTAGAGGACTTTTCACAAATGAGACATAGCTTCCCTCTGGGGACTTCGCAGCCCTGTTTCAGAGAATGCATTCTTACATTTTCCCAGCATTTTAAAGGAATTTCCTTCCTGGCCTTCGGATCTCCATGCCCACTTTTTGTCGTTTGGGAGTTGACGGTTTGCAGTCCTGCCTTAGCCGGGTCAAGCCAGCACAGCTCTCGAGGACCCAGGAAGACCAGGTGGCTCTTTTCAGATGAACGAGCAGGACTCCCTCAGCTCAGGGTCGAGTTCCAGCCTCTCTCAACTGCGCCTCACTGCTTACACTCTCCAAGGTAGGAACATTGGAAGCAACCCTCCTGTGATGGGATGGGACTGTTTTTCAGGATGCCACGCCTCACTGTACCCAGCTCTGACTGTACTGTCTCTCCCAGGATTTACACAACTTCTTGGGGATTTTGGTGAGAAGGAAGGGACAAGAGGAAATCAGAGTAGAAAGAAAAGCCAGGAGACCCCAGACAAGCGCGTTCTCAGAAAAGAAGCTCTAGGGCAGTGGTTCTCAACTTTCCTAATGCTGTGACCCTTTAATACAGTCCCTCGTGTGGTGGTGACCCCCTGCCATAAAATTATTTCCTTGCTACTTCATAACTGTACTTTTGCTATTGATATGAAGAGCAATGTAAATATCTGATATGCAAGATATTTGATACATGATCCTCAAAGAGGTCAGGACCCACCAGTTGAGTACTGCAGGCCTAGATGAGAAGATGCATGTGTTAGCAGAGCATGTGTTAGCATGCATTCTTTCACCTCATTCCTCGTAATAATAATGTTAGATGGTAGGGGAGGCAGAGTAATGCCTCACACCAATATGTCATCTCCTAATCCCCCCCAACTATGGCAGATACGTTTGTTACTTTATGGATCAAAAGAAAGTATGCAGATATAATTAGGCTCAGAAGTTTAAGATGAGGACATTAGCCTAGATTATCCAGGTCAGAATGAGCATGGGAGAGTCAAGTACGAGGGAGATATATAACTGGAAACAGACGCAGAGAGCGTGGACACACAGTTAGAGAGCCCAGTGCCTTTGGATGCAGCGAAGAGCCCTACCGAATGCAGGTGGACTCTAGAAAAGGAAAAACGTGTAATTACCCGGCCCCATAGCTAAGATTAAGTGTAGAAAATGAAGAAACAAAAACAAAAATACAGCTTCTGTCACCCCCTCTGGACTTGTGACTTCTAGAGCCATAAGGCAATAGGTCTGGTTTGTTTAAATCACTGTTTGTGATACATTAATTTAATCCCAGCACTCGAGAAGCAGAGACAGTCAGATCTCTGAGTTCAAGGCCAGCCTGGTCTACAGAGTGAGTTCCAGGACAGTCAAGGCTACACAGAGAAACCCTGTCTTGAAAAACAACAACAAAATATCACAGCAGTAGAAAACCAGTGTGTATGTGTGTTGGGGGGGAGGGCTGTTCATCATGTTACACATTATTTTACATATTTTACATGAGATCAAACAGCGAGTTCTACAGAGGCCGAGTGTAGGTGGTCAGGAATCTGGTGCTTCACTGTACTGTACGCCGCTGGTATAAAAACCAAGAGATTAAGAAGAGTGGATAGGGAGAAAGATTACCCTGGTCAGGAAGAGGGGAACGGATATCAGAAGAAGTATAAACACAAATGAAGTCTGGAAAAGGGCTCCAACAATCCTTTCTCTAAAGCCAAGAAACAGGAAGATGTGAAGCAACAAGAAAAACTCCATGTAAACTGGTTCCCGGATCAGTAGTGAGTTATGCTTATGGCCTCCTTTCCCAAAACCAGCTCTGGAGCACAGGAGGAGCAGAATGAGCTGTACAGTGTTTATCAAACCTACTGGATATACTGCTCTATTATCACTTGTTGTTGAAAGACTACTGTGTAGCTTGAGTTTTCCTGACTGGCCCACAGTCAGGACAAATCTCTGACACCCGCCAGTCCCACAGCCACTCAAACCCGACCAAGTGAACACAGAGACTTATATTGGTTACAAACTGTATGGCCGTGGCAGGCTTCTTGCTAACTGTTCTTACAGCTTAAATTAATCCATTTCCATTAATCTATACCTTGCCACATGGCTCGTGGCTTACCGGCATCTTTACATGCTGTTTCTCATCATGGCGGCTCGCAGTGTCTCTCCCACTCAGCCTTCCACTTCCCAGCTCTATTCTCCTCCTTGTCCCGCCTATACTTCCTGCCTGGCCATGGGCCAATCAGTGATTTATTTATTGACCAATCAGCAACACATTTGACATACAGACCATCCCACAGCACTTCCCCTTTTCTTTTCTTAAAAAGGAAGGTTTTAACCTTTACACATCTCCAA